TTGCTTTCATCAATATGGGATTTGTTAAACTCTTACACAAAAAAAAGAAACAGATTTTTCCTGTGTATTTGTTTGGATGATTTTGATAAACTGAAACGATGCCAAATTCCATTCTACCTTCAAACAAGAGATCCATTATGCCCTAAGAATAGCTGTTGTATGAATATTTCCCTACTTGAGAAAAGCACCATTATTCTATGAAGCTTAGAAATACAAGAAAGAAATAAAATCCCAACAGGAAATTGAATTTGCACCTTATTTAATGCATGGTAACAAAGCAGATCATTAGATTTTTCTTAATAAATAGAATTCACTTCTGCAAACTGAGAGCCCTCTCTCAAGAGGGCAAGAGTCTGCTTGTGTGGTTTTGTTTCTTCAGAGTTGAAACAATTTTTACTTAGTGTCAACATAGAGTTATTTTACTAAGGGCCTGGTTTTTCAACTCTCACTGACAATAAGCCTGAGGAAATCCTGCATAATGCTCAGTAGGATCAAATCCTACTTCCATTCTCTTTGAAAAAATCTGATCTCTTCATTTTCGTCATCTCTGTTAAAGCTTGGAAGTGACTCATCTTAAGAATGGTCCTGGTCCCGTGGAGATCCCAGGCAGCTGGATTGCTCTTGAGCAGCTGCATTTTGTCATAATAGCCCAGGTTTGCATACACAGACCCTGTAACTTTGAGAGCTGACAGCAGCACTGACAGCGTCTCCAATCCTTTTGTCCTTTAAGGATGCAAAAAAGTAGCTCCAGAGAGTAGTTCAAGACAGAAAAAGCTGGCAGGTGGGTGTTTTCCATACAGTGGGAGGCAGAACTGTATTCCAACTTATTCCATTCACAAGAGAGGCAGGATTATTTGTTTGTAATATGAAATTCTTTGATATACAGACTCTGAGAAAAAGGCTGCATTCCTGCTGGAGCTTTTGAAGATAATGGTTTTCTTTTTTCATTTAAAGAAAAATGCTGATTTTTTTTTGTCTCTATGCTTGTGGTACCATAGGGAACAGAAATGCTCCCCAGCGTCTCCTGTTTTAGAAGGGAGATCTTGGTCATGTAAACAGAATGTCTTCCATCATACTGAGAAGGAAGAATCTTGGGGAAATGTTACTCTCCTGTATTTCCATATGATGGATGTTTACAGAATACTTCTTGCATTTTGCCTTCTCAGATGTGATTTGTGCATCACTATTGGCTCCATGAAGTAATTCTTTCAAAGCTGTTTTTCCCATCAGTATAGGAAAAAACAAGAATATAGTTTGACATTTCCTATTAACTGTCATCACTTAGGTATAATTTTTTCTTTGATGACATGATACGTGTATCACAGCAATTGCTTAGGTCACACCATTAGGATGTATTGTACATATGTAGCATTCACAGCTGATTTCTCTTCACTGCCTCTGCTGTTTGTGGCATGAATGTTGCTGGGCATATGGTCTTTCTTTTTAATAAAAAACAATCACAATTTGTACATCTTTTCTGTGTTACTTCTATAGGGGTCATAAATATGTGGGCTAAGGCACTGCGTTTCAGCTTGAAGGGTTATATTGTCAGAACCATGACTTCTGCACAGTTGCCAAAAGCAGAAAAAAAAGAACAAAAAGCTGTTTAAATCCTTTCCCTGTTGTACACCAAGTGTGGATACAGTCATGTTCGTCCTTTTTGGTTTGATCTCTGACTCAAAGTGAAAGCAGCAGGCTGGAACAGCATTTTTCCAACCATGGATGTTAACAGTCTGGGTGACCCTTGTTTTGCCCATGTAGCTTAAAGCTGTGATTAGTGATAGGAACACATGTGCTAAATTGACTGCAAAAAGCCGTTGTAATGTGGGGTTGCCAGAGTTTGTCTTTAATTCTTTCAGATTGGTGTGTGCTTCCTGCTGTGAGAATGCCAGAGATGATGAATCTGCTGGTGGATCACTTCTGCTCGTGCCTGAATTCATGACTTGCCAGTATGAGACAGTTTAACTCAGAAATTCTGAGTTATTGACAAAATGAATTAGAGATTGGGTGGAAAGGAGACTTCAGAAAGAAAAGGGCGATTGAGGAAGCTTCTTTTTAATAATAGTAATTACTGTCTTCAAAAGACTTGCCCAATAATTTAGCCCCCATTTTTGTCAGTAGGCTTGAATCTCTGTACCAATGCATGCAAAGAGGGTAGAGCCAATAACTGGAACGCATGAACCCTTTCATTCAAAGTCTGTAGTGTTTTTTGCAATCTACGATCTGCCACAGACCTCTGTATGATACGTTGAAGCTGGATTTTCAGAAGAAGCTGGAACAGAGGTGGCAGTAAAAGTTCCTTTTGATCATCCCAGCTTATTAGACCATTGCCTTGGCAGGTAAAGAGGGCTGCAATGACCAAAAATGAGTTCTCCAAAAAGTGACTCATTGGTAGAACTGGGGACCATAGTGAAGAGCCAAAGAGTTCATATATGCAGCTTCTGAGGCAGATACAGCTGCATGCTGAGTGACTTCAGCTTGAGGCTGAAATGTATATAGACTTGGATGTTAAAGCTACAAGTTAAATTAAAAACGTGGTTTAAATAATTGCACAGACACATGACTAGCTCTTTATGAAATTTAGCAGCTTCTGAAGCATCTGGTATTGACCACTCCATGACCATGCTCCAGTTCGTGCACTGTAACCACAGGATCTAATAGTCTGAATACTGAAGTCATCCCTAACAACTTTCTGACATTAAAGCAGAACTCTCAGTTACTCCATGACTTAATTGTAAGGATCCACTCAGAGTAACTTAGAGAAGCAAACCTATTTAAAGTAGGTTTAGGTCTTGCCTCTGGACCTGCAGTGGAAAGTTAACTACGTGGTGCCAACGCAGGAAGAGTCTAAGGTGATGTGGCGTGGAGGTCACAGTGCTTTCTGCCCAATGGTTACATGATATTGTACCATTAGTTTGAAACTAATATTTGAAACAAAATGGAGATCAGTAGAAGAAAACAAAGGAATGAAAGAGGGGTTTTTTTTCTGGAGGTGTACCTAAAAACCAGCATGGAACATTTTGGAGCAGTAGTTCTTTTTAATTCCTCTCAGTCACTGATAATTCAGTTTTGGCTGCTTGTGGATTTAGTGCCACCATGAAATGTAATTTGTTTGCACGTGAAATATTATCATTGTTCTATGTAGAAATGTGAAACTGGAAAAATGCTAGTACTGATACTGCTTTAATTCTAAGCTGCATTATAGTATATACTGTTCTATTAATTATTGTTACAGTAACAGTCATTAGATATCCAGGGCTGGGAAACAGATAAACAGAATTTGAAATCCCTGCCCCAAATGCCTTGCAATGTTAATTTTCAAGGCAGGTAGTTTATAAGATATTAGCCCATTATAATGAGAGTGAGAAAGAATGTTGGGCACAGTGTTGTGCTTGGGACTTGTGGCAGAAAGAAGAATTGAACATAGTTTCCCTGATAATCTTTCTGTATTTCGTATTTTAATTTTTCAAGGACTTTGTAACTGCAGGGACCTAGAATACTTCTTATTTAGTTTTCCTTAATAATCAAAATTTCTGATATACAATATTTCTGATATTTGATCTAAATGTACTTGAATGTTTTGAAGAGGGATGAAATGGGATTGCTTGCAGAGTAAGCCAATGTCCTAGCCTGCTGTGAAGAGTGGTCTCTCTTATTGAATTACACAGATACAGCAATATACAGAGGAGCAGTAGGAGTGGCTGAAACCAAAATACCTGGGAGCAGCTGCATATAAATTTTTGGTGCTACTGGGAGACACTAAGTAGGTAGTTTCAAGTTCTTTGTTCAATCCAAGCTAAGGGCACAGTGTGAAATTCAATCTCCCATCTCCCATGGCACTCTCTCTTCATGGGATTTGGTTGTTATAGGCAGAATTGCTTTCTGTCTCTGTGTTGACCAGAAATGCCAATGTAGCACTGTGAGTATTTTCTTAAAGCAAAAAAGGCACCTGGTTGTGATGTGTTTTGGTTTGGGCGAGTAAGTATTTTACAGTGGAAAAACTGCCAAGTCACAGAAATCCTTGACTGGTTATTCACCCTTTTATTGTTACATTTATTTTTCCCAATAAATTTGTACTTGGCCACAAGTCTCTATCCAAATATTAGAGTTGTTTACCTAATCCATGAAGTACAGGGAATATAGTGTATAAAAGACTAAAGTGAGATCAATTCAGATTAGGCACTCAAAGGTAATAGTAGTTCTTAGGATATTGATTTGTTCAGAATACAGGTGGAGAATAATCTTCTATTGACTTTATTTGGTGTCCAATATACTGTTATATAGTGTGGTTGCATATATCATGAAGTCTGTATAGTGGAGATGTGGCTAAATTTTTAATGTTTGACTGTCTCTTCACTGCAGCTTTCTCTCAATATTTATGTCTAAATTAATAACGTAAAATCACACTGAATATTTCAAAGACCATGCTTTTAAAAACAAAACTAAAAGTATTGGTGCAGCAATGGTGAAGCAGCTCAGTGCTACCTAGGGACTGGAGTAGTTAATCTAAACCAGGCAGCGGTTCAATAATATTAATTATTTTCTGTGAGAATCAGCACCTTGAAAACTTCTTAAAGGATGTGGTGGCATAAAAAATGTATGCTACTGTAAAAAATAGTAAAATTGTTCTATTTATGGAATCATATATTTTCTTCTGCTCACATCCATCCCCAGAAGTGAAAGTAAGATTACATTGGTACAGATAACTGTGATAACACGATTAACTGAATGATGCAAGGTAACTGAGCTCTTGGCAACTTAGGACCAAGTACATTAAAGTTATGATGATGTAGACAAGGAGAATCTTCATTACAAGCTCTCCTTTAGCCAGAGAACACCAGTCATGTCCTGGGATGTCCAGGCATGTAGTGACAGGAGGAGAAAGCAAAAATCTGGTAGAAGGGAGTAAGACCACCAAGGTCATCTCATTTGTCAGCAGATGACATCCTTAGTAGGTATATTTTTCTAATCTGTCTGTGTGATGTGTTTTTTCCTTCCAGTGTGTGGGTGTGACTTGGCACAGGGAGGGTTTTTCATCAAGAACGGGGAATACCTTTGCACCTTGGATTACCAGCGCATGTACGGCACCCGCTGCAATGGCTGTGGAGAGTTCGTGGAAGGAGAAGTAGTGACAGCTCTGGGAAAAACTTACCATCCAAGCTGCTTTGCCTGTACTGTTTGCAAGTAAGTCATCCCTTTCAACTAGCATGGTGTGAACCCAGTACAAGGAAAACAGGGAAAGAGGTTTCGCTATGAGACATAAGTCTCAAGACGTATTTCTCTTTGGGAAGCAATTGGCTGGACAAGATCTGCTGTCTTCAAAATGCCACTCATTTGTTTGGGGGACACAGCTCCTGTGTTGCACACAGTTCCCCGTTCTCAGAAAGTTACCCTCATGCCTGAAGGAATTATCAGGCTTGCATGTTGAGGTAATGGATATGGGTTGAGTTGAGTTCAGGGGATCAGCCCAGCTTGGTTGGAGAAATGAGGTAAAGCAAAATTCTGGATGCTACATTTGGGCTATGAGAACAGTTAAACAATTAAAAACATACTGGAGACTGATTTTCACATCATGTAAGAACACATGGCTTTGGGACAACTGTATTCCCCCTCTTCTTCCAAAATGCTGCTTCTTGTCCCCAATAACAGAGCCAGTCTTCAGTTCTACAGCAAATAAAAAGAAGTTAGTTAAGGCTCTCTGAATGGGAGAAAGGTGGCATTTTTAACTTCTATCTCTAATGAGTAGTTGAAGTACTTTATCCTGTGGCCTGGGACCTTTTTTATTTAAAGTATTTTGATTGTTTTTCTGTTTTTAAATAGTGTGTGAATTTACTGCATGTCGGTAGTCGTATAATGTGTATGTTTCAGTTTTATTTCCCAAGGACAGCATGAAACCTGATGATATCGTATGAAACATGACATTAGTTTTCTGTGCATTGACTTGCATCAATCTTTTTATGTTGAATGAACAAAAGATGAGTCACTGGAATAGATTAATGAAATGCACTATTGCTGCTGATTTATTTTTGACCCACTTAGGAATGGCAGTGGAAAGGAAACAATGCCTTAAACATTTTGGCTTGTTGAAATCAGCAGCTGTTCTTTTGTTAAGCAGTTTTGGAGTGAGGTGAGGTGTAGCAGGGGTCTGTACTTAGCAGCTAAGCTCCTTATAAAGATTTGGAGTTAAAAACTGTTATTCATCCTCTGCTTTATGCACCAAATAAGAGTTAACAGCAATGTCAACTTCTGCCTAACACACATTCTTAACATTTATGAGTGACTAGCTCCACATTCCTTCACTAGCCTCAAGAACAGTTCCAGTTCTTCCTTTGAGTTCTCTTCTGTATCATTTGCTATCCACAACATCATGCTGAGACCATCATAAATGTAGCTGTTGTGTCTTAGCAGATTTCACTGTCTCTACTATTCAGATAAAATAAGTTTGATAGTCTTTTTTAAATGAAAATACAAGGCAAGTCTAACCTCTGCTCTGCTTGCATCCATGGATTGGATTTCTTCCAGTGCCTGGCTTTGCCAAGGCCACATTGCAGAAACTATTTGGCCCGAGTTTCTGTAAAATATTGATTGCACTGGAGGAAGGCAGCAAACTCAAAGCATAGGGAACAGAGGAGAATTTCTGGCATAACCTTTGCAAAAATTTGTTTTTCTCTTTAACTTTCCAGGCGTCCATTTCCACCAGGCGATCGTGTTACCTTTAATGGAAGGGACTGTCTCTGTCAGATGTGTGCTCAGCCCATGGCCTCCAGTCCAAGAGAACTGTCTGCCTCAAGCAGTAAGTATTTCTGAATTTCTGAAGGCTCTCACTTTACCACTCTCATCAGCATTTGATTGCAACTAATATAATTCACCTTTAAAAAAGTGAACTATCTCTGGGAACCATATTTTTTTTTCCTCTTTTTCTTTTTCTTCATTAAAGTGCCTGGTACCACAGGTGGGAAGAGACACACATTTCAATATGAAGAAGTGACTTTTCCCCAATGACTGGATTTTTAGAAGGGCTGATTTTGCTTTGATAGGCACTTGAAAAGTATCTACTTGATAAAATCTGAGGTTTCAGAGTTGATAGATTACCTTTTTTTCATACATAATTGTGCAGGTTTAAGTATTCAAAAGAGGACAAAGTCAGAGGAAATTAATTTTCTTCTACTATTTAAGACTTTAATTAAATTATCCTTTAAAAGGAGTATCACCAAGCTTGTGCTTCCATTAGATTGATCCACAATGATACTGTGATCAGAACCTCAAGAAACAAATATAAATAAGACAGAAAGCAAGTTAAAGGGGAAGAGAGAGAATGAAGAAAATTTGGGAGGGAAATAAACTTGACTTGCTATTGGGGTTTAATGCTTTTTAAAGATAATTTGTAAATTACTGATATTAATCTCTGCCTCTGGTAGTTAATTTTTTTGATCTTTGGGGATTTCTGATTCTTTCTCTGACTGTTGGATTGTACTCAGCGCTCACCCAGTGCAGTTTTATAAATCAAAATGGCCACAGCTTTCTTTGTGACACTGGGTAGTTTTCTGTCGGTGCTGGTTTCCTTCAGGGAGACACTGTGTGTTTTGTACTGGTCCTTGGCTTTGAGATCCTAGGATTATAAAGTGTTATGTAAAGGCAAAGATGGATGGTTTGTGCTCAGCGGATGAGTCAAGTGAATCTCAAGTTATCTGATTTGCCTCAGAACATGTAATCAAACACTTAGACAAATGGAAAATGAGAGACTTTTTTTGTTATCGTGCCTTTCCGTCAGTTAAGTGATGCTTTTCCACTAGAACTGTAGATTTAGAGCTGAAAATGCACAGGCCTAATCAGTTAAGGAAGAATTTAGGTATTTATGAGGTAAAAATTTTTTCAGGCACCCAGAGAATCCTTCTGAGACGAAGGAATGATGTGGCTGTTGTATATGAATTACTGATGTTTAGGAGGCATAATTGGCAAGGAACTGCACAGCATAGGGACCTTGGACAGTACTGATGTTGTTTTTCTAAGCACTGCCACAGCATAGAATAATCTGGATCACATTACATCAGAGGTGGCACACCTGTCCAGCAGAGTGGCACTTCCCACATCCATAACTCCAGGTGCCAAAATGTCCCTAAAAATGACACACTCAAGTTGTCTGATAGCAAGCAAAAGAGCTGGATAGTCACTTCCTGATAGCCACAGTCTGTGCTTGAATTGCTTCTTGTGAAGCCACAGGTAACAAGGACTATAAATAACCTTTTCTGCAACTTTTAATGAGATTTATTACTCTTTTTAATTAAAATTGGGTCCTGTTGGACAAACTGCCTTACCAGTATACACAGCAAGAGAGCTCCTGCTCTTAACAGTTTGGAGTGCACTGCTTGGAAATCTCCAGCTATCTGTTGTGTTACATCTTGGTCTTTTATGGACAAAGACTTATAGAAAGGTATAGTGTAGAGTTTCTGGTCGTTTTAGAGCAAAACTCTCCAAAACAGACAAATGAAAGTGAGATCAGCATGTGTTTATAAGTTCAGAACTACTCAATTAAAAAAATATTAATGAAGTATCTCCTGTCTTCAAAGATATGCCAGCTGTTGCTTTATCTTTGTGCAAAAGTTTACTTAGATGTGGAGAAGTCTTTCTTGCTGGCACCAAAGAGCAAATTTCAATTAGTGTAAGTTATTTCAGATTGCTTCCATGTCTCTCCTGCTAACTAAATCAGACATATAATTTTTTTTCCAAATGCTTTGCCCTTTTCTGAAATAATTTTTTTAATACAAGTTCTTTTAAAAGAGAATCTCATTCACACTATGCAACTATTTTATATCCTATATTGCTGTCAGCTTCCCCTGATTGCTTTCAGGTAGATCACTAGAGGAAGCTTTCCTTAAAACAAAGGAAGTTTGAAGTCAGGGAATTCAATAGACTGTAAGTATATCAGGTTTGATTGGTCTGTGTCATGCAAAAGGAAGTCTTCTGTCCTAGAATGTCTGCATTAATGTTGACATGACATTTCCTGGTGTCTGTTACTTCACATAAGTGAAAGCTTACTGACAGCTTTGCTTGGATGATTTCAAGGAAAATCAAATGCCTCTAAATACAGGGGTTAACATGAATAACATGAACCTAAATATTGTTGCACTCTCTTGTAGTGCACACCAGTGAAAATCACATGGGAAAATACTGAAAAACTATTGTCCTTTTTTGTTTAGTATTAGTTGGGTCCATGATACTTATTTACCTTCTTTACATTAATAATATGTTTCTTTCACTGCACACATATCACCTGGAATAATTATAGCTATTTTCTTGGAGAACCGTTTCAGTGACTCCTTTTTTTATTCTAAGACAGTCTCTCTCAGTATACAGATGCTATAGAGTAATCTTAATTTATAATTTGCACAGACACAGTTAGATGTACATAGACTTTGGGATCTTCATTCATTCAGCACAGAATCTAATACCAAATACCAGTAAATAACTCTGCAGACAAATGAAATGTGTGGTGTTTGGCTTTGTTCTTGTTTTATTTCATATGACAGCTTGGTAAATGAGATGTGATCTGTAAAGCAAAGTGACTGGGACAGTTGTAGAGCAGCACAGAAACAGGGGACAACCAGATAACACTGATTAAAAGCGTGGTGTTGATGGCTTGGATAGTTCAAGGTTTTCAAGATTCTGTCAGAGACATAAAGTTATTTTCTTT